CCACCTGAACTTGGGTCAGAGCTCTCTGATCGTATCGTACAACTTCAAAGCCCGGTCTGGAAATCCTTGCGTTAAAGAACCGCTTCAATCGCACTACCTCAATTCCAAATTATAAAACATTTTATTTTTTTTAGATACATAGGTTTTTCCTATGTATTCATATATACGACGTATATATGTAGCTAGATAGTACATAATAAAGCAATATAGAATGCCCACCCACGATTCGGAAGAAGGATGCGAACAAAGGAAAGGCAGATCAGAGAGCTGAGTGCCTACTAGGTAGGTTATCACTGCATCACAAAATTAACTGTAAATAAAAGAACCAAATAGTCCTGCATGCCACAAGGCACGGAACGGCAGTAGTGTACGTACCACCACTATCTATCATCTCGCTTGCCCGTGAAGCAACAAGCTGCCGAGAGGCTATAGCAGCAGGAGCCAAAGCTACTTCCGGCCTGTTCGCTGGTTGGTTTCTGGGCTGATTTGGGCTGCCTGGTGCTGGTTTATTGTGAGAGAAAAACACTGTTGGCTGGCTGGTTTGGGCTGGTTGAAACCAACAAGCGAACAGGCTGTTCATCATCAGTGCTCTACTCTAGGTTTCATTTCATTTCCAAGCTATGCAGGACTTTAGTGGTGCCCTAGTGCTCTACTCTAGATTTCATTTTATTTTCTGTTCGGCAAGATTGAAAAATAAGATAAAATATTGTTTCGACTGATTGTTGTGAGAGAAAAATATCATTCTATCTGAAAACACTGTTCACACAAACAGTACTTCTATGAGTGGGCTGACCAGCCAGCCAGCCACCAGCCAGCCGAACACTTACCTCCATGTCTCCCCCACCTGGCGAGTACGGGGCCATGGGGCCCACGTGCGTGGTGTGTGTCCACGGTTCACGAGCCTACTCATGTGCCGAAGGCTGCCCTTGCCGCCCACGGAGAGCCACACACACACAGTCACTTGGACGTCCTGGGGCATGCCTGCCTGAGCCACTGGAGCAGCTAATGAGAGCAACATTTCAGCTGCAGCAAATATAATAGCTTGTTTTGTTTGGCAGCCAGAGAGGAAATTAGGAGGACTCTCCCCATCTGGACTCTCCCCATCTGACGAAGCTAAGCTACTGCTGCTTGCCCTCTATCTTCAGGCCAATCTTTAACCAATTCTGATTTTGTTATCTGTAAATGTTTATTAGGCGCGAATCGATGCATGCGTGCGTGGAGATTAGTAGCATGGAAAAAGTAAAGTGACAGCAAAAATATGGAGACTGAGAGGCCTGACCCTGACCCTGACCCGTCTACAGTAGTTGCTCGGATTCGAGCCGGGGGTATATCTGTATCTGTATGTATGGACACTAGATTCATCAGCCTGCCTCTTTGGTCTGCGAGCAAGACTACTTGCAAAATCATTGACCATGATATATAATTGGTCACTGTGTCTGCATAAAAAATAGGATGAAACATTTTCACTGTACCTCGCAGAGACAGAAGCACAGAAAGCACGTGCAGGAGGGCATAAGTGTTCGGCTGGCTGGTAGGGATTATTTACTGTTCATGTTGGAAAATACGGTTTAGACTGGAATGTTGTGAGAGAAAAACACTGCTCCGGCTAAAAAAATAAGCCGGACAAACCGGCTTCCTTCCCACCCTAAAACTTTACCCTGTCACATCAAATGTTTAACACATACATAGAGTATTAAATATATACGAAAAAATAACTAATTACACAATTTTTGACTAATTTGCGAGACGAATCTTTTAAGACTAATTACTCCATAATTTGACAATAATGTGATACAGTAACACGTGTGCTAATGATGAATTAATTAGACTTAATAAATTTGTCTCGCGGTTTACTAGTGGATTCTATAATTTATTTTTTTATTAGGATCCGAACACCCCATACAATATTCTATATAAAATCCGATGTGAGATTCTGAAACTTTACACACCAATCTAAACAAACCCTAAGGTCCCCTCTTCCATTTATCTCTCTCTAGCCGGTACGCTCCGGCTGGCGGCTGCACCACCTTGGACCTTGCAGGATTGGTTGGACCTTCGCTTCCACTCCTTGCCCCTACGAATGCTTGACAAGGGGAGAGAATTTCCATCAGGACCAACAAGCATGTACTAGAAGTGTTTGATGCAGGGACTAAAATTTAAGACATATCATATTAAATGTCACATGGGGTATTGTATGGGATGTTCGGATAATAATAAAAAAATAAATTACAGAATCCATCGGTAATCCGCGAGATGAATTTATTAAGTCTAATTAATCCATCATTAGCACATGTTTAGTGTAGCACCACGTTGTCAAATCATGGACTAATTAGATTTAATAAATTCGTCTCGCAAAGTAGTCTCAATCTGTGCATTTAGTTTCGTAATTAGTCTATATTTAATACTCATGTATGTGTCTAAACATCTGATGGGACAACGACTAAAGTTTAAAGTTTAGGAGGTGGAATCAAACACTTAGTATTACTACTGGACGTTAGACGTCAAGCAAATGATTAGAGCATTGCAGATTATGGCCATGTTCGCTTCGTTGAAAAACCATGACTAAAAGTACTGTTCGTTGATTTGTTATGAGAGAAAACCACCGTTTCTTCGTTGAAACAGTACATCTCAAAAGACAAAGCGAACGGGGACTATAAAGTTATAGCACCAAATATACAATGTCTGGTCACCATAAGCATAAGTATTGTTGGCGCTTCAGGCCAGAAACATACTCCATCCATCATCCTTAATACATCCTTCTTTTTAAGAAACCAAGAGTTTCAAATTTGACTGAACACATATAAAAATACTGTTATGTATAATGCATAATAAACATCGTAAGATATTTTTATAAACTTTTTTTTAAAAAAGAAATTGACTTCTCAACAAGGAGATTTGCAGATATTTTGGTACAAAGGTTTGTGTTTCCGTAACCAGATCATCTATTTTTCTTATCTTCATTCAAACATTGATGGCGACAGGATAAGTAAAAATCGTAGTCGAGCAAGCCTTCGGAAGTTTAAATGAAGATCAGAAAATGGAGACCATCATGCGCACGGATCAGGACCGTCGCATGACGAGCATCCGTGAGAGCCAAAGGGGCTCCCCTCTTATAACCACAAACAGAGCAAAAGTTTATCGCCCTGTTCGTTTGGACTTATTTGGCTTATAAGCCATGGCTAAAAATACCGTTGGCTGGTTTAGTATGTGAAAAAAATACTGTTCGTGGCTTATAAGCCAAATACGACAAAACAAACATGCTGTATATGTAATTATGTATACAGATGCGGAACACTTCACTACTTTCACAAATTTTGAACCAAGTTTTACAGGAGCTGCGAGACCTTTAAATCAGTGTTTTCAGATGGAACCTCCCAAAATTGTCTGATAATCAGCTATAATACATATCCATTTAATAAAAATTTCAAATGTCTTTACCGCCTACAGGTTGACAACGTCATTTTCTAGCGAAATACACTACTTAGCTGCAAAAACAGTACTGGTAATTCGGGTGCAACAAGGAAACATATGCTGCCTGAGATTCAAAGGGCTGCGAACCGCCACATCAAATGTGATGAACCCTGAGGCTTTATACGTTCCAACAACACTTTTACATGCATGGCTCCAGACAATATGGGCCAATGAAAAAAAAACTGTGACACAAACAATGCACGTTGGTGATCTGAATGGTTAGCATAGAGCTAACCGAGCGACAGTAACAAAACAACTGTCATCGATTGACAACAGACTCCAAAATCACTGAAACAAACACTGGCTGGAGCAGCCTCTTTTTTCTGCTTCGGTTGACAAATATCCCCCCAAGATTATACACACATGGCAAATGTAACATAGCTGACTCAGCTTTGATCTTCGTAGTGTAACACCATTCATTTACACATTTCGCCTCTTCATGAGAACCTGCAAGTTTCGGAGATTATTCCAGAGCCATGTACTCCCAACACCATAAACTTGAACTAATTAAGTGTAAATCCAAGCGAATTCTGTGAATATTTGATCTAAAAAATTACAGTTCTCTTTGATTGTAGTAAGTAGCCAAAAGAAAATCAAGGTAAACTATAATGTGGTTGCAATAAGTTCTTCAGCCACAGTTCAACTCATATGAAACTAGGTTCCCGGCCTATTAGTAACTTCAAACATCAACAATGGGCCAGAAAATTCGCATTTCAATTCTCAGGAGCTAATATTGGACAACAACTGGATGGACAATTGAATACACCTTCACCTTTAAGCATATGCCCCTTTCTAAATCTGAATAAGTGTATCTAGTAGACAGAAAACTGTCATGATGATTACATGCTCCCAGCAAACCATCTAAAAAGAATGAGGGATGCTTGAATAGCTGTAAGCAGCCTCAAATTGGCACATTTGATCTGCTGAACTTCTTTCTTGGGCGAGAATCTACCAGCAGATCTAAATTACTGCCTGTCTCTCTCTTTTTTTGCAAGGTGTATTTTGTTCGTTAGGAAAAGAGTTCGAAGAGCAATTACTATATTGATGTTTTATTTATGAGATAAAAAAATATAATCACAAGCAAGATTTTTTAATACGTGAATCTAATGACATCAACTGTGTCAAAACTCAAAAAAATGTGTTAAAGAAGTAATTGGTAGTCAAAGGCTTGTAAACAAAATAAGCTTGTAATTTCAAACAGAGGGAGTATATGATTTCATCATGCAGTGTTCCAGTGACAGAATATTTCTACCATCCTAACGCATTATGATATCCTGGGAGCTAAAACAGAGCCTAAACAGTTGAAGATACAAAAGAAATGAAGGAATAAAACAGTGTAGAATAATTTAAAAGCTAGCTAATATATGCACACCTCTACATCGGATCATTAACAAATAGGTACTGCTGACAACTACACAACAGGGTGGACACAGTATTGTCAGGTTTAGCTAACGGGTGCCAGTGAATTAGTCCCATCAAAGGAACTCAAATAGACACTAAGATGAAAAAATGGATCAAGATTAACCTGATCACAATGCCATTTCCTCTTGCAGTGCAGCAAGCTCATCATCTTCAGCTGTAGCTTTCTGTGGAGCAGGGTGAGCTGGTTGCTTGTTGGCTGGGACATGCACTGGATGCACCGGAGGAGCTGCAACAGGCTCCAGAAGCTGAGATTCCAACTCTGCTCCCTCCAGTTCTTCAAGTTCCGCTTCCAGTTCATCCTGTAAGTTTTTTCAGTGCAATAAGTGGTGTGTCAGAGAAAACTATGCACTGCTAGATTGCAAATCTTAAATGCCTGCAGTGAATTACCTCGTCGAAATCAGCAGAAGCTCCAAGAGGAGCTGACAAAGCATCCTGAATTTGTTTCATATTTTCAGTCTGTTCGTTAATTTCATCCATGGTCTTGTCTACATCATCAATGTTTCTGCAAGGACATGGTAAATAATCATTTTAAGACCTTGAATGACTAGGTGCGCAAATCCTAAAATGGACTCAATATTAATACTAACGTCGCTTTTTGCATTGCTTTCATAGCTGCAGCTCCAGTTCTCAATGCATCAACAGTCTCTGTTGTAGCTTTAGCTGCTTCTAACATGATCATCTGTATAAAAATGGGTTATACAGTTAACACACATAACGTACAGTAAACAAAAAGCTCAATGTTTGAGTGCAAATATACCTGATCATGGATTCTCAACTGAAAATTTCCAAGCTGCTCAATTTGTTGCTCATAAAGTTTTTTCCTCTTCAAGGATTGGATAGCCGCTGTTTGAGGAAGTTTATTTGTATTAGCACAAGTTTCTAATAAATCCAGTCTCCATTGCATAAGAAAGGAAGTTGGTAGCATTTAAGTATGATCAACATTAATTTACATGGAAGCCAAAAAGAGGAAAAATAAAGTGAACATAAGCTGTATTTAGCTAATAATGCATGATCATGAGGTCTTCAGGTAAAACAACAACAACAACAAAGCCTTTAAGTCCCAAACAAGTTGGGGTAGGCTAGAGTTGAAACCCAGCAGAAGCAATCAAGGTTCAGGCACGTGAATAGCTGTCTTCCAAGCACTCCTATCTAAGGCTAAGTCTTTGGGTATATTCCATCATTTCAAGTCTCCTTTTATTGCCTCTACCCAAGTCAACTTCGGTCTTCATCTGCCTCTCTTCACGTTACTATCCTGGCTTAGGATTCCACTACGCACCGGTGCCTCTGGAGGTCTCCGTTGCACATGTCCAAACCATCTCAACCGGTGTTGGACAAGCTTTTCTTCAATTGGTGCTACCCCTAATCTATCACGTATATCATCGTTCCGAACTCGATCCCTTCTTGTATGACCGCAAATCCAACGCAACATACGCATTTCCGCGACACTTAACTGTTGAACATGTCGTCTTTTCGTAGGCCAACATTCTGCACCATACAACATAGCAGGTCTAATCGCCGTCCTATAAAACTTGTCTTTTAGCTTCTGTGGTACCCTTTTGTCACATAGGACACCAGATGCTTGCCGCCACTTCATCCACCCTGCTTTGATTCTATGGCTAACATCTTCAATATCCCCGTCTCTCTGTAGCATTGATCCTAAATATCGAAAAGTATCCTTCCTAGGCACTACTTGACCTTCCAAACTAATATATTCCTCCTCCCGAGTAGTAGTGCCGAAGTCACATCTTCAGGTAAAACATGTTGAAAATTGCTCCACAAATAATAGACTATGGAATTTGCATTCTATGTGAATCTATTACATTGCAGGTGCATACAAACCTAAATTCATTTTGATAAATACTATGTCAACATTGTGACACAATACTAAGAATTAACACAATAACTGTGCCAAAGGAAATACCCGCATAATTGTTGATCCAATGCACCGTGCACCAAAGAAATTTATATACACAAATATGATGGATAAGCCTAAATTCATTTTGATAAAATACTATGTAAACATTGTGACGCAATACTAACAATTATTATAAGCACAATAACTGTGTCAAAGGAAATACCCGCATAATTGTTGAACCAATGCACCATGCACCAAAGAAATTTATATACACAGATATGATGGATAAGCCTAAATCCATTTTGATAAAATACTATGTCAATATGGTGACACAACGCTAAAAATGATAAGCATAATAAATGCGTCAAAAGAAATACCCACATATTTGTTGATCGAATGAACCATGCACCAAAGAAATTTGTATGCACAAATACACAAATATGATGGATAAGCTCGGAGTGCAGCATGTGCACCGAGGAAATTCAGATTACTTTAACAAAAAACATGTCATCTCCAATCGTACCGCCAGAGAACAAGCACACATTTCAAACTGCACTATTGTGGTTTACCATACCTCTTTTATTCTTTGCTTTTGAGAACTCCTTGGCTCTCTCAAGCTCCGCGGCTGCTTTTTTCTCCAGCACCTTTTCTTTCTTCTCCAGCATATCAAGTGTCTGAATATAAATAAAGTGAGCTTTTATAACTTTCTAATTTATTATGGCATAGACATTACATGTGCCAAGTTGGAAGCTATAACAAAAGCATAGTTCAATAGTTGGCTAAAGATATACAAAGAGTTAACGATACTGACCCTAGGTAAATTGTTAGAACTTGAGGAGCAAATATAGAAAAATCAAAGAATGATCAGACTATAAAGGTATTGATCATAAATAGATGGAGCTTATGCCATGGGAAGAACTTAAGCATCCCATAAGTTGAAATGAATTCAACAACATGTGAGAGTTCCAAGAGACTAAAGTAGAAGGTTGGAATTTTGTCATGCACATGCATGATAAGGCAACAAGTGATGTTATATTTTGGTTAAACCTTATAATAACAGTTCAATACAAAATGAAGGGTACTCTGAGGTCGCGATTATATTTAGGCAGCCAAAATAAGAAAACATCAATAAAGAAGAACACCTTAATGGAAGTAACACAAGGTAATCATACGCCAGGAAATAAATAAAGAAGACAGAAAGGTCACCTCATTTAACTTGTCCAGAGTGGCCAAAGCATTGGAGTTGGCCTGCTCCTTGGGCTTCCCGAAGATCCTATTGAACATGGACATGGCTACAACACTCGCAACAGAAACTCAACAACACCTGCGATAATTTTTGCCAAGCAATCGAAGTTAGCAGGCATAATACGTGCACATACACTTGTAACTAGATTCAGATCCGAATACAAATAGTAGTATGTTAGGGTTTGGGAGCACGGCTTCGCACAGCAGGAAGGGAAGGGAAGACCAAGGAGAGGGCGTCCCTACGGATTACGTTAAGGTTTGGGCGCACGGCTTCGCACAGCAGGAAGACCAAGGGGAAGGCATACCTGGTGGTGCTCGTCGCCGGCGAAGGTGGCGGAGTAGGGCGCCAGCGACGGCCGGCCCAGTCGTCGGTGGGTGGGGGTTGCGCACACGCTTGGGGAGTTGGGGCCTCGTCCGTGCTGTGGGCTTAGATGGGCCGCTTGACTGCCCCGTCCGTCCTTCGATGGCAGCGAACGGCCCGGATGCATCGACTGCAGGGAGACGTCGACACAGCCGATGTCGGGTGATTTGATTCCGAAAATGACGAGGCGATGTAGGATCCATTTCCTTGTACCAGCGTACTTGCAAAGGAACGACCTGTGTTCTTCGCACTCCAGTAAGGGAAGGCGACCTCAGTCAAACATCCCAGTAGCAAAAAGGAAAGACAACCTAATACCAAACATGGAATAGTGGTGACAATGAGTCCCACTTTCTTAAAACAAGCAATGTTCAATAGTGGTGACGACTGCCTGTTCATGTTCGATGCACCTGAAGCCCCAAATTTCTCCGTTTCAGAGCCATATTCCTAGGCAACCTGAAACAAATGAAATCTTTGTTAAAAAAAATCAACCCTAAGTTTCTTGATATGCTTAAACGGTCTCTCTTGGCATGGCCAAGGGAAACTAACCGAAAAGTTCAGCTGAAAGGATCTCTGTTGTGTATATAAACGTCTTTTGAGGAACTCCCTGTAACCTCTCTTTGGAGATTGAAGTATCATCCTAGATTAGCTTTTGAAAGGATCTCACAATGCCTACTATGACCTATAAATTTGCCCTTATAAAGTAACATTGCTGGGATACATAAAGAAGGTATACTAACCCAACAAAACGTGATTCATCCACTGGCACACTCCAATCTAGGCGCGGCAAAGCCGCGCCGTTTTTTCTAGTTTCTTTTAACTAAGTTGTCTTTGGTGAGTGTTACTCTATACAGAAACCAAAGGAAAACCTTTACCTTTAAAGGAATTTTAAGTTTCCATAGGAGTCTGTTATGAGGCATAATACCTAAGTCTAACTGAGAATTATCCACTTGTATTTAGTGACCATCTAAAAAACATTAGGTTGATCGCTTAAATGTAAATCCACAATTCATAAGACTAAACTATTCCAATCATATAGATTTTGGTCTACTAGAGATCTCCAAAAGGAGATGTTTAGAGGTGCAGTGTTTAATAAGATATCAAAGACTGTATCATTCTTCCTCCTAAAAATATTAAACAAGTTAAGATATTGCTCTTTTAAAGTGGCTCAACCTAACCAAATGTCCTAAGAACATAATTTGCATGCCATTTTGCAATCGGAAATTCCCAAATGATAGGAATTGATTTTTGACATTCATCAACCCTCTCCAAAATTGAGAGTCACCTGGCTTTCTATCCACTTGATTATTGATTTAGTACTAAGATATTTATTTGTAAGCAATTGTTGCCATGCTCAATCTTCATTTATTAACTTGTATAGCCACTACCTGAGCAAATATTTATTCTGGATTTCTAAATCAAGAATACCCAGTCCCCTTGTTCCATAGGTCTGCAGATAATAGTTCATTTTGCTAGCCTGTACTTCTTTCTATGATCATCCCCTTGCCAAAAAAAAATGGTTCTATAGAACTCCAGCTTGTGAAGAATGCCTTTAGGTATTTCAAAAAAGGACAACATTAAAAGAGCCAAGCTAGATAATACAAAATTTATTAATATTAAGCGACCGCCATACGACAAAAGCTTGCCATTCCAACAGCTAAGTCTTTTTTCAAATTTATCTTCTATTATCTTCCGGTCGGCATTACATACTAAACTTATTATGGTGCATTGGGATACTAAGATAACAAAATGGATATTGTCCCATTTCACAACCAAAAAGTTGTGTGTATTGATCCTCTCATTCTTTTGCTTCCCCATAACAGAATATAACTCACTCTTATGGAAACTAATTTTCAATCCCGCTATTTTTTCAAAAGCATAGAGTAGTAGTTTCTTGTTTTTTGCTTGTTCAAAATCATGCTCCATAAAAAGTATATAGTGTCATCCCTATATTGCAAAATAGAGAGTCCTCCATCAACTAGGTGTGGTACTAAACCAATTATTTGACCATCTTCTTTCGTTCTAGATATTAGTACGACCAACATATCAGCTACAAGATTAAAAAAAACAGGGGAGATAGGGGATCTCTCTGCTACGATCCTTTCTTAGTTTGAAAGTATCTACCCACATCATCATTTTCTTTTATACCCACACTTCCTTTACTTACGATCTGGTTTATCCATTGACACCACTTTTTAGAGAAAGTCGATGCTTTGGAAGTCGTCGATGCGACCGGAAGTTCGACATGTGCAGTGTTCGCCCATCTTCCCCTGCATGATGAACCCAAGCGCGTGTTGTTCATTGCCATCAACTGTTGGACAAACACGATAAGGCTCCCCAGGTTAACATAGGTGTCGAAAGTTCCGGCGATCTAGGTCGGAACTTCCGACGCAGATCTGAACGGTTACATTTTGCCTTGAAGTATAAATATCTCTCTCCTCTCTTCTAACCGTTACCCACTCATTACTCACGACCTAACTTCGGCCAAAACAGCTCCCAAACATTTAAGGCTCCTCTCTCATCTCCCCTTTGCTCCCAACTTCGATTCCTCCAAGGATTTGGGTGAAGAGAGAGTAGATTGAGTGAGAAAATCGTCTAAGCAAGCTTGAGCACTTGATTTCTTCGTCAAGCCAATTGGATTTGCATTTGTTATTCTTAGGGCTTTGCCCCTAGCCGGCTAGGCGTCGTCTAAGAGCTTTCATCTTGTGGAAGAGCCTTGGGAAGTTTGTATTACCCTTGATTTCTAGTGAAGAACTCAAGTGACCTCTGTAGTTTCCTTGAGAGAGGTAAGGAGGTGGAAGAGACTCCGACCTTAGTGGTCACCTCAAAAAACGAGGACGTAGGAGCTTTTTGTGGGATTGCCGAACCTCAGGATAAATCGTTGTCTCCCGTGTGCTTGTTGTTGTTCTTGGTTGTCTCTTTCTCCCTCTAGCTAATTCCTAGGGTTTGGACCTGATCTACGGAGTGGTGGCATTTCGACGTCAAGGGAGTGACTCTACACTTTTACCTAACCACTAGGAAGTGGGGTTGTAAGCTACTTCATTCTCAAAGTTCATTTTAGCACTGATTTAGTAGTTCCTGTAGGAGTCAGGAACTCTCGGCCAGTTTGCGTCGGAACTTTCGGCCATCGGAAGTTCCGGTCCAAACTATCGGGACTTCCGACAGTTGCTGATATTGAACTTTTAGTTTGTGATGTAAATTTTTAGATACGCCTATTCACCCCCCCTCTAGGTATTGTAAGATCCTTTCAAGGTTCCGTTATGAAACTCCTTAAATAAAGCCAAGAGATCATGTTTAATAATTTCCCAGAACGTTTGGTGTTTTATTGTGTTTCATTTGGAAAATTACATCTCTAACCTCTTTTTTCAGTAAAAGGCGCAGTTAATTTCTCATTATCTTCATCTGATACTTGTGGTATATCATCCCTCTTACTTTTGTCCATAGTAGTCTTCACACTCATTAGGACCAAACCGGCCCTTTTGTAATATTGGTCCCGTTCGAGAATTCTTCGACATTGCTAGTTTATGCTTGTAAAACTTGATATGCCTATTCACCCCCCTCTAGGTATTGTAAGAATTATGAAACTCCTGGAAAACATGAGATCATGTTTAATAATTTCCCTGAATTGTTGTTGAGAGAAAAATTACATCTCTAACCTCTTTTTCAGTAAAAAAAAGTTAATTTCTCATTATCGAATAGTGTGGATCATCTTACTTTCGTCCATAGTAGTCTTCACACTCATTAGGACCAAACGGGGCCTATGTGATATATGATTTCAGTTGTTCGTCACCTTTTATTACGTGACTACCATCCTCAAGCTGAAAGATGCGCGTTTTTTGGTGTTTACCATTCGCTACCAACAGGAAATACTTTGTATTGCTACCTCCTTTCAATAATTGTTCTGTTTTTTTATCTTTGGTACCATCGTATTTCCTCTTCCCGCAAAAACTGGACTAGCCTCTCTCTCAAACAGTGTTTTAAATCAACTTCATATTGTTGTAGCACCACTGATTCGGCTTTTTTTGTCCAATTGGTCTATCTTATTTGTGAGTTCTTGTTTTTCTTTTTTGTAAGCACTACTGGTATTTTTGGCCCATCCTCTGGCAACATTACTCTTGACCTATATCTATTGTAGTCCTCCGCAACTCGAAATCTGGTGCATAGAGCCCTTAGATACCCAAAATTAAGGTTCACCTCTGGACAAAGTCACGGTGATCCCTAGAAAATTAGAGCAGATTGTTTTACGCTGTTCTGCAGCACTACTTCAGTAGTGCTTTTTAGATAACGAATAATATTTTTTTTCACAACAAATCAGCATAAAATCGTTATAAGTCAAATTTCAGCAACGAACAGGGCCAAAATCGTGAGGATGGAGTAGTCACTGGTCAGAACAGATGGCTGATTCTAAACTTGACTCCATTTCGATGAGTGCTCGACACCAGATAACCCAACCACAGAACTCTCAGGCCACGTCGCCACGACCTGCGATCGCAAAAAATTCGCAGTGCAATATAAGTAATGCGATGATCGGCGACCCTGTATACAGAAACCGAGAGCTTAGGGTAGGTAGGGCAGGGGCAGGCACGTACCTGGATTGGATCGACGTGGAGCGTCGACGCTGCTCGTGCCCGGCAACACCACCCCCGTCCGGACGGCCGCACAGCCATGAATTGTGCCCGAACGAGCACGAGCCTTACCCTCCGTTCGTCTTCGCGCGGGCACGGGGAAGGCCGGGTCGGGCAAGGACCGAGGTCGATCGTGCGGCGCTGTGTGGATCTCGCCGGCCGGTTTGGTTCTGCAGCAACCAGCAAGCTTCTCTTGTGAACATTGAATCTGTCGCTGCGATCGCACCCGCTGTGCGTGGTTCGGGAGCGTGCCGGATTTTTTTTGTTGTCTTGAATTTTGTACAAGTAGCCTAGTTAGATTTTGAATCAGAAATGCTGGGTCAGGACGTCCTATCGTCCAGATGCCCCCGTTGCCGTGGGCGAACGGACTAACTATCCGGATGCCTCATCTGATTGGTTGTTTTTGATAAAAAAAACGTTCAGCTGTCTTCATCACTTAATGGTCTCCAGAAATGTCATTCCCCAATCCCCACTCACCGATGAATTTCAATTTCGCGCTCCACCGTGACCGCGCTCCCGTAGCGCTCTCGACAGCGGCTAGCCGGCCGCCATCCTCCATCTCCGCCGCCAGCCGCCTTCCTCCCTCTTCACCACAGTTCACCGACCATCGCGCGGCTTCAGTTCGTCGCGCCCGCCCAACTGCTTTCATCCCTCTCCGACGGCACCTCGGGCCAAGAGCGGCGACTAATCGGCCTCCACCTCTCTTCCTCTCCACGGAGCTTGGTCCGCATCGTCCCTTGGCGACGGCATCTAGCGATGCGGACGAGATCGAGGCAAGGGCAGCGCCGCCCGCCTCTGCTGGCGCTGGTGGTGCCGTCGCGCGCCTCAGGTCAGTCCCCACCGAGCCAAGGGCACACACGAAGCGCGACCCGTGGTGGTGGTGCTCACGCGCTGCCACTCGGCGCCGGCTCCCACTCCGAGGCCGGAATCAACCGGCCCTAGCCTCTCCCTCCCCGATATTGCAAACGTATAGTGTTTCTGATGTTATCAGAGATATGTTGCAAGTGTTTCATATGGATGGTACAAAAATAGATTGGGATGTTGCAAGTGTTTTAAAGACATGTTGCAAGTGTTTCGGCGACATGTTGCGAGCGTTGTTTAAAATGTTTTATCTGTTTCAGACGTATGTTGCAAGCGTTATTGATCTAGATGTTGCATATGTTTCACATATATGTTGTAAGAGTATGTTTGAAATGTTTGAAATGTTTCGGTCTTATGTTGCAATAAGTGTTTTCATGTTGCAAGTTGCAAGTGTTTTTTTTCTGGATGTTGCATATGTTTCACACATATGTTGCAAGTGTATGTTCCAAATGTAAGTGTATGTTCCAAATGTTTTATCTGCTTCAGACTTATGTTGCATTTAAGTGTTTCATATTGCAAGTGTTTCGTGTTTCAGAGGTATGTTCAGAGAGTCATGAGGTACAAACCCAATTACTGGGGAAGGGGCGCTTGGCGAGCTGTGGGTCGCCAGAGATGGGGGCGCCTGGCCCTGGTCCTCCTGGATGGGGCGTGCTAAATCTTTTTTCAGGCTCCGGGTCCGCCCCCGCCAGAGAGAGGAGGTGGTCGGGGAAGGAGTGGCGGGCACAACCGGGGTGCGCGTGTGGGGCGGGGCGAGGCGGACGGGAGCAAGGTACAGGTGCGGGGCAGGGTGAGACAGACGGGGGACAGACATGCGCATGCAGCAGCGATACGGCACAGCGGCTGGCGCGACGGGCGGGCTGCGGCAGCAGCATGTGTGGGACGTCCGAACGCGCTCATCTGCTCTGGACAGGAGCCAGTAATTCCCATTTTGAATTCATAGTAGCCTAGCCGGATTTTGAATTCGTGGTAGTAGCTTTTATATTTGCTTGAGCGCGTACACTTGTACATCCTTGCAATCGCCCGTCCGTCCGTCGTGTGTGGGCATTGTGTTGTGGCGTCACTGCGACACTGCCCAAGTGCCATCCAATGCCAAGACGGACACGAACAGATTAACCTGAAACCGAACCGCACTGGGAGCAGATAGCTTCACATTATGGCAACAGCAGCAAATCTTGATGTAATAATAAACCAGCTACCAGAAGACTGGTGCAGTTGAAAAAAAAATGTAAGAAAAGCATTCTGCTATTGCTTCCAAGTATCACAAGGTCATCAACAAAATGGGCGTCCATGCAGAAACGCACAGGGTGTCTCCTCAAAAAAAGAAACACACAGGGAGGATATAAGAGTAAGATCATCCGCTCACCTCGCAGCAAGCATCATCTAGGGTCATTGTTGCAGAACCACATTAAACTTAAACATGAAATGGCACTGTACCTGTAAATTCTCAGGACATGCCTCCTCCCATCTAATGGAAAACGGGTTAAAAAAACCGTGGAGGTGCCAATACATTCTTATTATAATTTATTACAAAATTGGTTACTTTTGTACGGTCTGCCGATCAACCAGCAGAGCTCGGGTTTCATCTAAATGTTCTCTTTTCTTGAGTGGTTTTCGCCCCCAAAGAATTCTTCAAAACACAGTAGTTGGCTCCTTTCATTTACAATAGCAGTCTCCTAATGTCACTGAAATTCAGCGCCAGCTCCGTGAAAAACTTCCCTGCTCACCCGTACGGTGCAAAAAAAAAGTGATTAAATTGTGAAATACAGCCCAAAAGGGAATGAGAGACAAAAACAAAGAAAAGAGATGCACACCTCCTACTTGCCCATCAAATACACGATGGTCAGCAGATAGTGTCAAGCTCATCTTTGTAACTCTAGCAGCCTTCTCAGTTCCTGGACAAAGTCACATGAGTTAAAAAATGTGTCTGCAATTGTTTTGGGCAGGAAAGCAGTGTGTCAAGAAAATATACCATCGCTGTCCACAACAGGTTCAACAACCTTGTTACCTCTACCGACTGCGAGAATGCCAGACTGATAGAAAGAAATGAAGAATAGGAATCATCAGTACAAATTCGAAGGATCCCATTACTAGAGAAGCAAACATGTGTGAGGAGGGACCTGTGGAGGGTTAATGATTGCACAGAAATGGTCCACTGGGTACATCCCAAGATTTGAGATACTGAGTAAGAACAAATCATTAAAATGTTAAAATATGGAATTTCAATGACAGAAAGAACTCCCTGAAGAACAATGGTAAACAGGCACAAGTTGCTTGCCTGAAAGATCCCCCTTGAAATTCATTAGGTGCAAGCTTCCCAGCTCTTGCCTTTTCAGCCAGCTGCTTAACCTGAGTGATTATGAACAAAGAAACCCATAAATGACTTCCATTGAAAATAGAAAATGTTCTACACACAGAAAGGCTGATTTTTTATGATAGAATTGTAGACCACAAAACTGTGCAATTTTAGTGATTTCTTATGCGAACAGCAAACTTGATGGTTGTTGATGGCAAGGAGCCAAGAATTAAACACTCAAAAACAAAAACTGCCTGAACATCCTGGCATATAAACATCTGCTTTGAACTTTGACAACATTATCGTACCTCTGAGGATATTGCAGATATAGTCTTTTGATCTGCATTTCTTATTATTGGGGTCATCAGGCCCTGGAATAGCAAAGACCATCATCAGGCACTGAAGGTACACTAATAATTACTCTGTGGAGTGTGGACTCTAGAATCATACCTTCTCTGTGGCAACGGCAATGGATATATCAACTGAATCACACTTTTGGGTTTCTTCCTTCTCATTGTTCCAGTAAGCTGGCAATATATGCAAATACATAAAATCTTCAAAAGTGGAGACTGAAGAGAGTTACACATACTGGTCTAAACAAACTAAGCATACAGAAACCAGCGTGTTTACTGAATAGTTTCAATCAATTCAGCTATACTACAAATCAAAAGAAAAACAGAAAAAGGAAAAGGAAAAGAAAGGACATGTAGCTGGCTTCCTAAAAACAGGGCAGGAAAAAACTAGTACTAGCATGATTCTAGTTAGGATTTGCCAAAACATGTCAAACAGCAATAGACATGGCTGCTTTCCACTAGTACTATGCTTGCCAAGTGTGCCAATATACATTTAAACTATTACTCCTTCAATACAAGCTGAAGTATTCCTATAGGAGTAGCCAGGGCTTGGGTGCTGGACCTGGGGTTCCAATTGGACAGCCTAAGGCTTGTACTGTTGTACAAGACATAAGCTTACAACGAGCCATGGTCTAAGTCTAACCACCCAAACTGACTGCTCAGTGAACAGAAAGCACAAGCAGGTTGGTATCTTATTTTAATATAATGGCACAAATTCTAGCACCCTGAAAAGACAAACTCAGCACAGCCCTATTATGTAGCTGATCAAATTCAGCTTATGGGAATTCTATACCATATGTTAGTCTAATGTAAAACTAGCTTAGATTCAACGGTTTGAGCTGGAACTAGCTCATAATATTCCAGTGCAACATATAAATGTTCAAACTACCATTTTGGTGTGCAAAATCAGCATGGGCCGTGCAATCAAAATGAGAATGAATCATGCTATGGAGTCAGTCTTGAGATGCTACTACTGCTAGCTTTCTAAAGAGAATGCTGCCATGTACTTAAGGGTAGCACGCAATTAACTTCCCAATTTCAGACAGAAAAACCCTCAAAAGTTCCTCAGAAATGTCATTGTGAATTTCTTATGTATACACCAAGCAGGATTTGTGATTCATACATCTGACAAACAAATAATAATTCTAGTTCCATTCCTCAGGGAAAAAAAACATTGGAATTTGATGTTTATTTTGTTATTCTGAAATTACCATTTGCTTCAGGGACATTCCGCAAGGCAATTGCCACAGCCTTTATGATGATATCATTTACTGAAACTTTAATGCCATGTTGCTCTGCAATGAATGAAGTTATGAGCACAGAAGACCTTTCCTGTTATCTGACTATTGAAAATAATAAAAGTTATCTGATTACTGAAAATTATCAGATAAAAGAAGATATATAACACACCTTTCAGTTCATTCCTGAAAGTGAGCAAGGGATCCAGCACAACATCTGACAACAATGTAAAACATATCATCATGCTAACAATATTATGAAAATAACATGTGCATGGAATGAAATATGAATACAAACCTTTGGATAGATACAAATGTGGAGTCGTCTGTTTTGATTCGAGCAACCTTTTTGCAATGACCTGCATGATAAGAAAACATGTCTGCACTGCTGAAACAACATGGACCTCATAGATTATACTTTATTCAAAAAAAGGATTTGTAGATGAAGATGATACATTATAACTGTAATGCACAGACCTAACCGAGATCACTTTTCATGAAAGACAGTTCTTTACTAGTAGCAAGAAGATCCACTAGACATAAAAATGGACGATAATGGCTGTAAACTGGTACAACACATTTGCAGAACCCATCCCCAACAAACAGTTATATGTGCTTGGACTCCTATGACGAGTTCACAGGTTGAATTGCGTCTTGATATTAATCCAAAATACTATGTAAACAAAACATGAAGTTCATTAATAATCTGTTTCATTGCGTGAAACTCTCGACCATGCTACAATCCATATAGCTAGGGACAAGACAGAGGGAGCTCGTGTGGTCAATATTCTTTCAATGTCAAAAGATTTTGTACTTTAACAAACTATGACTGGAGAAAGAAGCAAGCCTTACAAGGAAAATGAAAGCCGGGTCACACATCACACATAATCAAATACAGTGGGAGTGCATGGGGTGATGGGTGGAGCCAGTCACCGTAACTTCAAGAAGGGATAGCACATGTGTGGACTAAGGTCCTAGTTAAAGGGATCTTGACCCTTGAGCTTACGGCTGCTTGAAGCTGAAGTGCACAAAGTTAATTGAGTTCTTTAGCTTCTTAGGAGTTCCTTTTTATTAAGATTTCAAAGCATCCAAAACAAGCTTCTCAGAATTCCTCTTTATTAAGATTTCAAAGCATCCAAAACAAGCTTCTCAGAGAAATAGACTTCTAGAGGAAGCAAAGCTCACAAATGAGCAAGGGGTAAATGTGGGAGCTGAGTTTTAGCCAATACTGATTGTTTTAAAAGACTCACTAAAAGCAAATATATCCTGCAGCACTTGAAAAAATCAATAAGGTGTAGTGTGAAAGTTTAGGTATTAGCACTAAACTTAGGGCGTGTTTGGATATGTACGCGCGTTGCGTATCCGTGAGGACACGAGAAAATCCCATCAAATGACCTTCAGTTGTGTGTTTCCGTGCCGCACAAGTCCAAAACCTGAGAGGCAAGAAAATCAACGCTTTCCCAATACTTGCTTCTACAGGGAGAAGCGCTTCCCCACGACAAGTATCCAAACAGGGCCTAGACTGATCTAGATGCTAGTTATTGAGTTTACCATGCGCTTAAGGTAACATAAGAGAAAGCTATCATAATATCTACTGAAATTAATAAAGTCAAACACAGTACCTTGCGTATCTGACTATTCGGAATATCTTCATATGTATCAGCCTTTTGTGAAACAGGGGATGCTTGAGCTTGGGAATCTCGAGTTGGCTGAGACGAAGGTTGAGCTGGAGCTTTCTTTTCTTTGGTTGAACTTGAACTGACACCCGACTTCAATGCCGCCAGAACATCCCCTTTCAGAAGGGTGCCACGGGGGCCTGATGCTCTCAGTGATGACGTATCCAGTCCATGTTCCTTGATCAGTAACTTAGCTGCCGGGCTGATCCGGCTCACTGTTGAGGTTTGTTCAGACACATTAACTACTTTATTTTGTGGCGCACTTTCTGTTGAATGCTCCTCCTTTTGTTCACCTCCGAAAGATGTATCAGCTGGTATACTTTTAATATCCTCAAGGTCTTCAACCTTACAAAATGGACAACCAGCACTCAGTACAAAAGAATCACTAAGATATAAATCATCACATTAAAATGGATGCTTATGACATAAAAAACAATCAATAATGGAGCTATACCGTGACAGCAATGGGTTGTCCAACCTGAACATCTTTAGAACCTTCAGGTGCTAAAATCTTGGCCAGATACCTGAAGCATTAAAGGGGTAAGGGTAAACACAAAAGGTGTGTGCAGGATACAAAAACATTCATGATAAGAAATGATAGTGACACAAAAGAATAAAAATTTACGCGAATGTTATTGGGCAGCCAGCTGGGAGCCCACAGCACTAAAGAAAAAAACTGAAGCCATAATTATTTGATCTAGCAGTGCCAGTTTCCAGTTATTTAAAAACTTGCACTTTTATGTAATTAGGTAGAATAATTAAATAGACTTAAAGTTGCAAAAGATCACCGGAGTATCCTTCCATGCATTTTATGGACCATGAATGTTATAGAGCTTAGGTCAGTCTGCCATCAACACAGTCCAAGTGCAATGGAAAAGGTAATCAGGTGAAACAAAGAAGAATGCAAAATTGCATATATTACGTTCGGTTTGACTTGGAACAATAGATTGATAAAGATTGTCTGAGTGTAAATGAATAAATAAGGTTTAAATAAGTTAATTCCGCTAGTGAATTCTTTCATCGAAAGGAATGTACCAGTAGGTTACCATAACACAAAACATGGAGTTAACTTTGGAACTAAATATAATGAATGGGTTCCATTAAATTTTGGTGAGAACCTGTTCCTGGAGCATTATCACGTGTTCCGTCCATGAATGGAGGGTTCTAATGAAAAGAACTAGCAACTATTCAAGAGATTAAAACATCATGATGGAAAATGTAAACTTGGGAATGTAACATCACAATAATCAAAGTAATTGAAACATTACTAATAACATCTTAGAAATATTCGTCAAGGGCATTACCCCTCTTCAAGGCTTTCAAACTCAAGAGTGGCTTTATCAGTTTCTATCTCGCATATCACATCACCAACCTCTATCTGCAAACAACATAAAGTTTAATGATACTGTTCTCAGAACTAAATAAAGGGCGTACCCAGTGCAGAGAGCTCCCGCTCTGTGCGGGGTCTGGGGAAGGGTGTTAGTGGCGAGCCTTACCCTCGCATGTGCAATGCGAGGAGACCGCGACTCGAACCCGGGACCTTCCAGTCACAGGAGGTAAGACTCTACCGCTTGCACCAGGCCCGCCCTTCTTCTCAGAACTAAATAAAACACATTAAATGAAAAAAGTAGGAAACCCTAAGCTGGAAATAGGATATTCTTGTTGAATTAAAAAAATAACAGTTAGCAGAAGCATAACCTTGTCTCCTTCCTGTTTTCTCCATTTCGCGATGTTACCTTGATTCTAATGAGAACTGGGTCAGAATACCAAATATGCAGAAATACAAAAGACAGAAAGCAAACGACATGTATCAATGTATTACTAAGATAAATGCTTAAAGATTTTACCATAGTAGGGGATAGTGCTGGCATTCCAACCACCAGATGTGGAGGAAGCCCTGAACAAAAAAGATAAGGACAAATTAACAGATGTGATAATTTAGTTGTAATAAATATGAAAAATTACAAGTAATGAGGTACAAATGGATGTGATTCATCAGCACAATATGTTCACAGAACAGGATCTTGCTTAGGACATTTATCTTGAATGGGTTAATTTTGTAGAAACCAATTGTTACTGCAGAAAATCACACGATACTGCATAATGACATAGGTGACCGCATGAGGTTCTTTCCTTGTTCAGTAAATTACATTGCAGAACAAAAGGAACATAGTTAAACCATATATAACTTGACAAGTCCACGAGATTTAAACTAGCAATTTAAATACACATTTTTCTGTTGATGCCAAACCACAGGTAGATGAATTCAAAGGCTTGCACAACATCAATGGTACAGAATGAAGTTCATAAGTTATGGAATGATCTTTTGTTTGTTTATCTCTTATGTCAAATTAACAATGTGAGACATGTGGTTATACCTGTAGATGAGAACCAGCGGGCTGGCATGGGGATCTGCAATAAGGACGCCACATAAGTATGCAGTTAGCAATTTTAATGGATGAAAAGGATTAGTATTTTGGCCCCACCTTGTAATGTGCGCCCAGAGATGTTAGAAGTGATGGCCTGGAAAGAAATCATACTTCAGAAAAACAATATACTTCATAAATAAAACCATATTCCAACAATCATCAGTTGCAAGTAAATAAAGCATGTAAGCTACACACGTGTTGGTCCACGTTCACAATTTATAAGTTAACCCTAGAGTTAAAATTGGGGGCAGCATAAGTCCATGGAGTGACAAACAACTAACACAACAGTAGAAAACCGAACAATCCCTTGAGGTAAAGTCTACAATGATATACCTCGTGGACGCACATCTGCCCGCCTCTGCTAAGGAACCCCTTGCCCGCGACAAGCTGTGGGCAATCAACATTACACATCGTCAAATAGCTGTCTCGAAAAGCATCAAAATTTGCACAAATTCGTCGGCAGCGTCAATCATCTAAAATCTTACCCGACCAGAAGTGCACGTATGTTTGCCATCTTCCCAAGCAAAACCTCCGCAGCAAATGATCCCTGGTACCAGGATACGCAGAATGTGTCACAAAACAAAAGGGGCAGCAAAGAGGGGTGGCTTTCAGTTGGGCACGAAAAATATTTTGTGGAATACTACAATCTCTAACAGGGCCACGCATGGATGGGCGGATTGGAACATTAGTGGCAACAAACACTACGGTGCCACACAAATCCACACCGAAACAATAAATCTAAATGGAGAGGAAGGAGGTTCCAAATTTGACCCGGAACGGAACCAATCTCGTGCTTCCAACAAAGGAATCCGTCCCCCCATTCAAGCGAGCCAGGACTACCAGGAAGGAAGAGATCGCTACTCACCGGGACGGACGGATCTCCAAGCCCGCTCGAGCGAGAGAGGAGCAGCGGCCGTCTGTGGAGGACCCGGAGGAGAGGAGGACTACGGCGGGGCGGAACCGGGCGAAAGGAGGGTTCGGCGGCGCCGGGTTAGATGCCCCCCACCACCACCAGCGCGGACGAAGACGAGCAGGGGAAGGGAACCCGCAGGGGAGGCAGGTAAGCGCTGTCGACGAGCCGAGCTCGAGCGAGTAGCCGAGCCGCTGGGGAAACCGGTGTTAAACCTGACCTGAGTACCTGACACGTAGGGCCTACTCACACGGGCTCCGTCGCGCAGCTCTGGCTCTGCTTTGTCTCTTGGCGAGTTGGGCTTGGATCGAGCCTGCGACGAGCCCAGCCCAAGTAGCTCGCAAGCCTCGAGCCATTTCTTTATAGCGCCAAGCAAGAAGCAGGTTTGGTTGTTGGTCGACGACCAGGTGCTGAGAAAGTTGCGGATGGTGCGATCCTCGCCGTCCACTACCAACACACGTACACGATCGCCTCTCAGTTCGCCATTCGCCATCTCACCACGGGGCGACAAATTTGCAGTAAAAAGAAATCCAAAGTCAGAGCATGAATTCAATTTGTCTTTGGCCTTGGCCATGTACGGTTATATGAATATCTCGTGAAACACATACGAGGCACTTTTTCTTTGGCCATGGGGCAACGTAGAGGGAAACGACCATACCGTACGAGTCCAAGGGGTTCAAATTTCCCTTTGGACACGTCGAAATTCACGATGTAATTGGGGCTTGGAAATATCATTAAGATTATTATACACAAGAAAGATATCATAGACTTTTATCATGGTTACACGAATAAAAATGTCCATAGCTTTTACCAATACACATCATAAAATAGTCAAAGCACTCCATCTGTTCCTAGAAATCGAAGGTATGCCGCGGAGTAAGAGCACCCCATCGCATTAAGAATACATGTGATACTCTTTCTCTATAACTAATGATAGAGGAGATCAAAGATAAACCAAGCTCCAACATATCTCTTTTTGTCAAAGAAAAGAGGAAGAACCTGTGAATTTTTTCGAACACCTTTCTTCTTTCCCCTCTCACTGCATCTCGGGCCCAACACGCATATTGTTGTCGTGCCTCGCCCACAAGGCATGGCAAGCCGCCACCACATGACGCCTTACATCGGACAGGTAGCCAACACCCTCGTTGAGCTACGCGTCTCACACACATTTCGAGCGGGCAACCACCCTTGCTCGCTCAACCGTATCTCGCATGTAGGCGGGTAGCCACTGCCGCGTCGTGGCCACGCGTGCACCGCGCTCCGTCAGCAACAAGGGGATACATGAGGGAGACAAAAGAAAGCAGGAGAAAGATTTTTTATCGCTAACATGTGGATTCCACATATAAAGGGGTGAGTTTTCTCTCAATCTGTTGGAGCACATATTCTCTATACTATACAATTTAGCTTTCTCAATCCCCTATACTAGATGTTAAGGGAAAGAAGAAAAGGGATGCGGTGGATATACTTTTCACGGTGTCTGATTCGTCGCATCATTGGTATATAACTACTACATGCATGTATCCTGGTCAAACGTGGACACACAAGTATGACAACTTTGTCACAGCTAGCCACAATCTGAATCAAACCAAATGTTGCAAAGTTAAAGGCCTGATTCTTAGCTCTGGCTCCTTGATTTTCACGATGGGATGATTTTTAGTGGCTAGCTAAGTAGGTAAGAACTTATTCTGATGGAGATTGGAAGAGGGAGGAGTGAAGAGCAAAAAAAAAATATGGAGAAGTGGTTCTTGTCAGATTTCCACTAGAATTTTTTTATATTTTTTTATGTTTGAATGAGAAGGAGTGATTCTCACAGGGAAGCTGCTCCAAAGGGCTCAACGGAATGGCCGCAAAGTACTTCTTTGTTTTTTTTAATAAACAGGCATGAATGCTAACTTTTGTTGTGAGAGGAGCTATAGTTGCACTTTTTTTTACCCCTTGGAGGGAGTGTTCCATATGAACTTGTGTTTTTCATTATAAAATGGTGCTCAGTCATATTCTCTTTAGATCTAACAATTTCTTGCATGATGCTCAAGTTTAATCCAACAAGCTAAGTCCTAACCTACAGATTATTTAGGCATATACTTACTCCATTCTAATTATAAGACATTTTGTTTTTTTTTAGATTCAATACATTTAGTTATGTACTTAGATATACGCTATGTGTATAGGGCATTGTTGTGGTACTCCAAAATGACTGTGAGATGTTTATTTATTTGACCGAATCGTTAATATCACCTATTACCTCTTAGGAGGTATGAGGTAATATATGAAATATATTTATTTAATTTTTAAATTTGTAAAGTAGGATAAATAAGGAAAGTTTTAGATATAAGATTTTTTTTAGATTTGATCGATGCATGTGTGACCTAACAGATATGGTAAATATTTTTTATTTTGCAACTTTAAACTTCATGTATTTTGATTGCCATGTAATTTTGCATGTGATCTCATACTGTTGACACAAAATGTGACGCACTGTGCCGCACACACAGCAAGCCGAAAAGCGTAGCTTCAATCGGGTGCCCGGGTGCTTCGTGATCCGGAACGTGCCGGTCGATTTGACACGAAAGAAGCCCGACAAGGGATAAAAGCGATTAAATGTCAAACCCGAACATGTCGGGTGAGACCGAGCATAGATTCGTATATACTGACCACGGAAGCCACTTACAGCGACATACTGACTATAGGAAGGCTGTCGCCAACAAGTTTATAAATCATTCGGCTAATCGTAGGATGGACATACGTAAAGATCGATTGCCGAATGCATATGCATCAGGAAGACATGTTTGAACAAGTGAAATTGATTATGCGTTAATGCATATCCAAGCTCAACAATCCGGCCGAGTTGGGGTCCATGAAGAAGGCGTGTAGATAAACACGATTAAGCCAATCTAAAACACTGCAAATGCGCGATACGACACCTAGTTTCGTCAAAAAACTTAAACGTGATTAACATACATGAACCCACAACATGTGACAATCTAGATTAAAATAATTCACCATTACGAGCATGTTATCTATTTGCAAAGGTATTATGAAAGTAATGATCTTTGAAGCTCGAAATAAAACCATAGAAGAGGCCGAACAATATCAATCTAGATTGGGCAAAAGTGTGTTACAAATATATAAAATATTTAAAACATGCAACACAGGATAACTTGATGAATCTATTTAGATTTTGCTGTCAGTAATCTAATAGAGCCGATAACTTGTCTTGCTTCCACTAAGCATATTGAGCAAACGCGCTGCGCACTTACGGTATCTACTCATAAACAAAGTATAAGCAAAGACTTCTTGATTGTCAAGCAAAGATCCGCCGACGATCATTGAAAACAAACAAGACTACTTGTATCACGTCTAAATCCACCGCATGATACTAAACATGATAACAAGGTTGCCGGAACTTACGGAGGTCGACGGATCGATGACTCTCTCTCAAGAACTCGGACGACACGACAAAAGGACTCGAAAGTTGGCACGGGGCGGTTGTATTGATTTGGTTGTGAACGCCTATTACAATGGTCGAGGGTCAATATTTATACCCTAGACGAAACACGAGTCCTAAAAGACTACGATTTACAAAGGAACTCTTAAATAAACTTAGAAACTACGATTCCTTGCCCCAAACTCTCGTAGAGTCCTTTATTATTACAACTTTCATCTTTTCGATCGGCTTTGCTTGCCATCTTACGCTTTCGAATGGAGTTACCGCCTTCGGAATAACCGATCGCACAAGCATTTAGCCGACCGCTTATGTTGTTTGCGAACACTCTTCTTCCCGCATGTGGGTCCACCTGTCATCTTCGAAATTGACCAAAATCCGGTGTTAACACATGCCCCCTCAATTTCGGGATAAAAGTTGTTTTATTCTCGAAATTGACCCAAGCTCTTTCATCCTCCTAGGTTATCACCGTTCAAAACCGCAATTACCGCCCAAAATTTCAATCTTTCGGTAATAACTTGAACCTCCTTTAAATCTTCAATGGCGACCGGGATGAAGTCCCAGAGGTAAACTTTATTTCTATTCGCAACTTTCATCCCATCCTTCCGCTCCTCTTTTGACTTATTCCCTCTCGATTTCAATCATCTTCTAAAGGAGTACAAGAGCCGATTTTGATCCCTTACTTACCGCCAACCCCGACTCCTATTTCCTTGGCCCAATGGGAAATCCGACCCTTACGAAATCATTGAGAAGGAAACTCAAAGAATTCCTTTCAAGTGCGGAATTACCTCACCAAACCGATGGCCAAACACGTTCAAGAATTGGCCATTTCCCCAATCACCGGATGGCGAATCTGATACAGAGAATGTTGGAGAAGAGCAAGTGACCCTTTGGGAAAGTCGGGACATCGGTCATTGTGCGGAGTTATCTTTAGCAGAGACACCCAGGAATGATTCCCTTCGATAGCGACTTCTCATTTTTGGTCCGACGCTACCAATGCCTTTATCTTGACCATGGTATTATGACCATCACTCTAGCCGACGTATACATGATGATTTGGTTTGAATGTGTCATTGCCGATATATCCTTATAAGTACAAGAGCAAGAGTAATCAAAGAGCCGTTAGTTCGGATGTGGATGGGTCAAACATATTGTAATTACATGAATGCATCCGGCGCCAAGTCTCGACAAAGAGTTGAAAGCTTTCATGAATATGTGGCTATGCTGATTCATTTTTGTGGAAAATCCAATGAACCAACCACGAATCACATGGTAATGGTGAAGACTTAGCTGCGAGCACCCAGATCCCATTAGGCAAATATCTTTTAGGGTGCGCTTATCATATGATGCATCAGATCACCCTTCGGATGTGCCAAGGTGGAGAAATTTCTTGTGTGAATGGTCCCTGGTGGCTAATTCAAATGTGGCTCCAACTATACATGCATCAGATAACCCCTGTGAGCCTCTTCAACCTAAGCTTCCCCTCGATTAACTATGTCAAGGCAAGATGCAAAAGGTTAAAGCTTGTCGGACTTATGGGGAAGCAAAGAACATCTATAAGCATTGATATAGACATTGGTCATCTCTTCAAGCTATTTTTCAAAGGATTCGCAATGTGCTCTGGTTTCCTTACGGGGAAAATGAAGATCCGACTTTGCCACCGCAAGTTTAGCTATGAAATTGGTTGTTCGGGCCAAGAATCCACAGAGATTTTCAACTCCTTTATCAAACCTTGCACTTTGCCACCGAATTTCATCATGGGAGATTAGTACAATCCACCTATGAGTTCTATTATCCCAACATGGTAGCCAGACAATTAGGATGCGCCAAGCGCCTTTCAAAATTCCTCTTCTCAACAATCATAAAATCAAGGAAGCAATAATGAGAAGGAATGGAAGCCAAGAAGGTCTTTGAATTAGGATGGGAATTACCAATATATGAACCATCTCCATTTGGGCTAATAGATGTTGCTCATCCCTCTTTGTCTCTTGGTGGCAAGAATGGCATGCTCATATCTTCAATATAGCAGTTCATTCTTTATGCAAAAACTTGCAACCCGATTTTGCTTCTGACAGTGAGGTAATTTCATTATGCCCATCATTTCTTATTCTTGAATCCACTTCTTACTTTAA